TCTCTCTCTCTCTCTCTCTCTCTCTCTCTCTCTCTCTCTCTCTCTCTCTCTCTCGCTCTCTCTCTCTCCTCTCTCTCTTCTCTCTCTCCCTCCTCCGTCTCTCCTCTCTCTCCTCTCCCCTCTCTTCCTCTCTCCTCCCTCCTCTCTCTCCTCCCTTCCCTCTTTCCTCTCCCCCTCTCTCCCTCTCCCCTTCTCCTCCTCCCTCTTCCTCTTTCTCCTCTCTCTCCTCGCCGTTTTTTCCTCTTCCCCTCCTCCCCCTTCATCTCGTCTTTTGTCGCACGCAGCAGACCGGCAGATTCACTTCGCCTCCTTGTGCCTAATGCCTCATTCTTGGCCGTCTCCTTTGTCAGGCAGCATTTCCACGCATGCACATGACACGATACACCTACATATACATGTGTATTTACACATCTTAGTATATATATATATTATATATATATATATATATATATATATATTTTATATACATATTATACATATATACATGTTATCCATGCATGCATGCATACATACATACATACATACATCGCATACATACATACATACATACATAGCATACATACTACATACACATACATACATACATACATACATACATCATACATCTGTATATACATTCACATACTTGATTATATATTAATTTTGACTTATTAACATTTGTATTCCTTTTATACACCCACGTACATACATATAGACAATGCACACATACAACATAGAACATACACGGTCTCATTCCGGTCGATGGCGTCAAATTTATCTTCATGCTCCTCCTTTTTAAGATTTATGTTCAACATCCATCTGTTCTTAGCGATGTACTAACTCACCCCCAAAAGCCCTTGTCCCTACTTCCACTCCCTGTCCCCTCCCCCACCCCCTCTCGCTCACTCCCCGCCCCCTCCCCCACCCCTCGCCCATTTCCTAACACCCTCTCGCCTCACTCCCTCCCCTCCCCAATCCCCACTTATCCCAATAACCCGCACCTCCCCACCCCCACCACCCCCTCCCCTCCCTTACCCAACCCCCTCTCGCATCCTCACTCGCCCACTCCCCATCCCGCCCCTCTCCAACCCCCACTCCCAACCCCCGCTCCCACTCGCCAACTCCCCCAGCCCCACTCGCCCACTATCGACTCCCACCCCTTCCCACCCTCGAATCCCCCCACCCCACTCGCCCACTATCGCACTCCCCCAACCCCCCACTCGCCCCATCCCCCGCCCCTCCACTCCCGCTGCACCGTCGCTTGTTCTAGTGCAGTTGTGAACGCGAGCCTAACACATGCCTCCGCGCTATTGATCATCACTGAGCTAGTCACGACATTACGGATGTCATCACCACCACTGCAGTGCCATTGCTGCTGCAGTGCCATCGCCGGGTGCAGTGATGCATCGGCGTCCTTGGTCGCGTTGCAGAAGCCCCGTCGCGAACGTCCTGGGGGAGGGAGGGGGAGGAGGAGGAGGGAGGGAGGAGGGGTGGGAGGGTGGAGGAAGGGGGGAGGAGAGAGGAGGAGGGTGGAGGGAGGGAGGGGGAGGAGGATGGGGTGGGAGGAGGAGGGAGGGGGGAGGGGGGAGAGGGAGGAGGAGGGGGAGGAGGGAGTGGGGAGGGGAGGAGGAGGAGAGGGAGGGAGGGAGGAGGGGGGGGGTGGAGGTGGTAGGAGGGGAGGGAGGGAGGGGAGGGGCAGGGGAGGGGAGGAGGAGGAGGAGGAGGAGGAGAGAGGGAGGGAGGGAGGAGGAGGAGGGGAGAAAGAGGAGGAGGGAAGGAGGAGGAGGGGGAGAGAGAGGAGGAGGGGGGTAGGAGGAAAGAGGAGGAGGAGGGAGGGGGAAGGGGAGAGGAGGGGGGGAGGAGGGAAGAGGAGGAGCGGAGGGAGGGAGGGGGGAGGAGGAGGGGGAGGTAGGGGGAGGAGGGAGGAGGAGGAGGAAGGCAGGAGGGAGGGAGATAAGGATGAAGAGAGAAAAAGGAGGAGAAGGAGGGGGGGATGAGGAGTGTGTCATGTTGCAACGTCATCGCGACATACTTGACTCCGCAATCGGCTTGGTGGTCTTCGGTTGCGAGTGTTGTCCGGCGGGATATCCGTTTACCGTCACGTTCAAAAATGCGTATTCCGTGGTTCGCTCTCTCCGAATCTCATCTTTCCTCCTCGCTCCCTCCCTCCTTCTGCCTCCTTCATCCCTCCCTCCTCCCCTCCTCCCTACCTCTTCTTTATCCTTCCCTACTCCCTTCCTCTTTCCTCCTTCCTACCTCCTCTTCATCCTTCCATCCTCCTTCCTCCCTCTCCTCTTTCTCCTACCTCCTCCTCTTCATCCCTCCCTCCTCCTTCCTCCTCTTCATCCCTCACTCCTCCTTTCCTTCTCCTATTGATCCCCCCTACTCCTTCCTCTTTCCTCCTGCCTCCTCCCCCTCTCCTCTTCCTCCTTCCTCCTCCTTCTCCCCTTTCATCCCTCCTACTCCTTCCTCTTTCCTCCTCGTCTCCTCCTTTCCTCCCTCCTTCATCCTCCTTCCGCCTCCTCCTTCCTCCTTCATCCCCTCCATCCTCCTTCCTTCCCTTCCTCCGTCCCGCCCCCTCAAGATCACAGGAGGGTCGAGGCGCGAGGGGCGCGAGGGGGGGGGCGCCAGCAGCCTATCATGGGCGCGAGGAGGAGGGCGTCGGGAGGGTCTTATTGGGTTACCTGCCGAGATGAGAATTTAGCGGAGGGAAATTACTCACGTGTCCCGTTATCTCTTCCTTTCCTTCCTCCGAGCATTCAGTCGGGTGTGTTTTTTTTCTTCTCTGTCTCTCTGTCTCAGTCTGTCTGTCTGTCTGTCTCTCTCTGTCTGTCTGTCTGTCTCTCTGTCTGTCTGTCTGTCTGTCTCTCTTCTCTCTCTCTCCTCTTCTCTCTCTCCTCTCTCTCCTCTTCTCTCTTCTCTCTTCTCTCTCTCTCTCTCTCTCTCTCTCTCCTTTCTCTCTCTCCTCTCTTCTCTCTCTCCCTTCTCTCTGTCTGTCCTCTCTCTCTCTGTCTTGTCTCTCTCTCTGTCTGTCTTGTCTCTCTCTACTCTATGTCTGTCGTCTTTTCTTCCTTATTTGTCTGTCTGTTCTCTCTCTCTAAAAAAAAATTTTTTTTTTTTTTTTTTTTTTTTTTTTTTTTTTTTTTTTGTCTATTTCTTCCCTTTCTTCTCTGTTTTTTCCCCTCTGTTTCCTTCCTTCTCTTCCCCTCTTTCCTCCTTTCCTCTTT